CAATCATAATTGGACAGACTACATTTTTGCTATTTGAAATGCCAGATATAATGTATAACACACATTTTTATACTTTAGTATTTGTTGATTTAAACTGTTTTTTCATATATAAAATTAGTAAAAAAATTTCTTTGTCAGGCTTTGAATAGATATAAAAATGAGATATCTGATGTATACAGATGAACATATTTGTACTCCTAATTTTTATAGATTATTATAGAATGAGGAATTATTTATCATGATGATGTCACAATGCCAGGTTGCGATTTTTAATCATCTTTTAATTATAAAAAAGGTCATATGACTTCTGGTTCAGACCAAAAGTTCATGTATTCAGGGTCTCCAGCTTTCCATTAGTGTGGTGGAGTTGGTAAACAAAAAGTTTGACTCAAGGTCAGAGTCACACATTGAAAATTTGCCTAATTTTTTATAAAATGTCACACTACAATTCCTTTTATAAGAAAGATACCACTGGGTATCCCAAATATTTTTATCTAAAATTCCTGTGTAAAAAGTTGTAGTAAAATTGATGGTCAGATTCAAAGACTGGATGCAATAAATTTACCTGAGAGAAATTTTCAAGTACATAAAGAAACAAACTACATCCTTAATAGCCAAAAGAATTCCACTTTTATTAGTTAATTATGAAAAATTGATTTAAATTTAATTACTTTCAAGAAAAAAAATTAAATACAATAAAACCCAAAAAATAACAATTTGATGAATGACATAATAAATTAGTCTGTAAAATAGTCTCTTCCACTCTGGCTACAATGGGAATAGTTAATTTTATACCGACAGTTGACTAAACTGAAATATACAATAGAATTTAAAAATGTGAAATTTGGAAAAAATCTTGAATTGATGGGTGCAATCATGCTCCAAGAATTTAAACCAGTGAAAAATAAGCTGAAACAATTAAGTACATTTTGCAGTTTTCTCTTTCTCTTTTAGTTTGTTGCAGTTAGATTCTGATCTTGATTTTGCTTTTTTTTCATTGTTTTTCTATTGATTAACACCAAATTATGTTATTGAAGTTATAATAAATAGTCATAAATGACTTGAAACCAATAGAAGGACAGTGAAAAAATTAATTAGTCAAATTAGTCAAAAAAACAATTGATATCCAAAGTAAAACATCTGAGATGTAAAAAACTACTGTGATAGGTAAAAATTATGGCACCTTAAATGAAAGTCAAATTTTTTCTTGGGAGCTTCTCTTTACCAAAGAGAACTCCCAAGAAAAAATTTGATTTGATGCTTCAAAGCAATACCATAAGCATTTACTTTTCAGGTGCAATTCCACAACTATTCAGAGGTTTTATCCACTCAGTCACTGGTGGGCCTTAAATTAATAAAAGCTATTTTCTGAAAATATAGAGCATGTCATATAAGATAAAGGCTGTTTCATAGCAAAAATCAAAATGGTATTAACCCATACAGAAATCTAAATTTATCAGTATGTCCATTTTCTGAGAAATTTCTTTAGATACTATTTAATTAAAAAGTATTTTCCTTACTTCACATTTTACTAATAGTAAACTTGAGGTTGAAGTTGCCAAAGTTGGAAGAATTTTACTGATTCCACGACACCACTTTCCATATATGGTCTTGATTTCAGTAATGTATGCCCCTGTACATCATACTTCTCCTGATAACAATCAAGTCATGCAGGCCATCTGTATAACTATATTCTTAAGAAAATTTTGAAACTGAAATCACAGGAGTTCTGGTCTAGACCAGAAGTTTGTATATAACTAATTGAGGCCTCCAACCCCTATGCTATCCATATCAGTTCTTGACTTTGATCTATCTAACTCAGGTCCTCAAGACTAATGAAGGACAACAATGAGAATGTACAGATCTGCAATTTTAAAATTACAGCCCAATAAAAATACATGTCTCTCCTCCCAAGTTATATAAGTTGATGGTACAAAAAGCATTGGAAGACTGTTTTCTGTTCCTTATGGCTTGATATCCATGAAATAGGAATTCAGATGATCATATTATCTTCATGGAGAAAGTTTCCAATTTTCCAGTTATGATGATCTTAAAACTTTTGCTTCTTTTTTTCTTCCAATCACTGAAAGTTAGTGTCTTCAATTTCATCTCTATCATAATTGTGTCTTCACTGTTGACAAATTGATCATCCTTTTTATAACAGATAAGACAAAGAAATACTAGATTTCTTTCTATATGATACTTATTGTATGATCTATAAAATTCACATTAACTTCTCACATTGCAGATACCCTGATTCACCTTTTAATCAGCAAATGCAGATGATAACTTAATCCTCATAGTTATATTTACAAAGATAAATAATATAAGCTCAATTAATAGTTCAAAGGACAGTCCACTATTGAGTATAGAAACATGCCATAAACAAAAATTTTCAGAAGTGAAAGCCAAATTAATACATTGTTCAATTAATACAATTAGTATCCTCCTCCTAGTTTCTCTGGCATGCAAATATCTATCATATTTGCATGCTGGAGAAACTAGGAGGAGGATACTGATTGTGAATTAAAATTTAACGTCAAATAATACTTGAAATATAACCGAGGAAGGCTAATAATCAGCCTGAAATGTACATATTATTTAAATAAAATCTCAATGAACTTTCAAATTAAAAACTGTGGTCTGATAAGTCCTTAAAATTTATAGCAAATTAAAAATAGCTATTAAGATGATTTATTAAAATATAGGACAAAAAGCAAATAATTATATCTAAAAACTAATTAGAAGTAACAGAAGTATGAGGGAGGGAGAGATGAGGAAAGTCAAACAGGAGAGAAGTACCTCTGGCCCTAAATGGTCTGGATGCTATCAGGACTTTTGTTGACAACATACTGTTTCAACTTTATGTGAAGTGATTTTTTTTCTTCCATTGACAAATTTTTAAAAACTTAATTTAATTCTCTTGTTGTTTCTCAATATCACCAAGTCCTTGTTATCTTCTTGATATCTGATCATACATACACACAATAAAAAAAGTAACCTTATCCAGCATTCTTTCCATACTCAAACTAGCCCTTTCACCTTTCTTATAACTAATATACGAGGTCTGATTAAAAATTATCCAACCTGTGGTCAGGAAAAAACCTATGTATCTAATATAATACAGTAGAGAATCGATTATCCGACCCCCAATCAACCGTCACATCGGTTAACCGACCGTGTTCTAGTCAGCAAATTCAAATGTCTGCTAGTGATGTGGCACTACAATATTTGGCTATGTCTTGGCTACTTTATTATTATTATCACGTGTTTTAGCTGGCAACACTGGCTCACCCATGAAAGGGAACCAGTATTTAAATGAGACTTAATTTTCTAATTTTTAACGATACAATAATGACGATTATTATTTTAAAAAATTTTTGTTAGGCTTAAAATCGATGAAAATTCAACACGAAGTAGGTTAAAAGCAATATACTAATTACATGGGATATACTAATATACTATACTAATAATGTATTTTTTTCATATTTTTCGGTTTTCTGTTTTTTCAGTTATCCGATCAACCCCAGTCCCCAATTGAGTCGGATAATCGATGCTCTACTATAGATTGAAACACTAGTCCCCTTCAAAATAGGCCTTTCCTGAGTTCTCTTGCTTCTCCCAGTGATGTTTCCACTGTTGAAAGCATTTTTCAAAGTCATTTATTGAATCTCCATCATGCACTTCATTGCATTAGTCGTAGTCTCCTCTGAATCCTAAAATCTATTTTCTTGAGAGGTATCTTGAATTTAGGAAAGAGCCAAAAGTCAGCTTGAGTCATGTCTGGAGAGTAAGGAGGCTTATGAACCTGTGCAATACTATTTTGCAAGGAATGTCTAGATGAGATACAGTCTGTGCATTGGAGAATTGTAATGAAGAATGAACCAGTTACTATACTATCAGAGCTCTGGTCTCTTGTGCCTAACAGCATTTCATAGTGACATAAAAGTCAGGCAGTACTCTTTTGTCACAATTTGTCCATGAAGGTGTACTCATGATGAACTATGCCCTGGTGGTTGAAAAAACAGTCAACACAATCTTCATATTGCTGCATGATTGCCATGCCTTCTTGTGAAGACCCTGGCATTTTCCACTAGAATGATTTTGCCTTTGTCTAAGGGTCTTACCCATAGATACAGGTCTCATTTCCAGTTATGATGATCTTCATTAAATCAGGATCAGCATTGGTGCATTCCAGCATGTTGTAAGTAATGTGCAGATGGTTTTTCTTCTGGTCATGACGAGCCTAGATATTCATTAAAATCGATTTATGAGTTGATTCAAAAAAAGTTCGCTCTCTTAAATCTGGAAATTCAAACAATAAAATCGGAAATCAACATTGTGAAAGAAGATAATGTCAAGGTTAAGGAAGAGATGAAGAGTATTTGTCAAAAGATACACACACTAGAAGAAAGGTCCAATTCTTACATCAACTTAAAAGGTATATTCGAATTTGAACTCAATAAAATATTAAATAAGAATACAAAGAAAAATTTAGTTATTTTGAACTATCCATTTAAAACTTTGGATGTTTTAGAAGTTAAAATTTATTAAGGAAGACCTAGAACTTAACAATATAGAAATTGAGGGCCTTGTGCAATTAAAAAATAATCAAAATAATCAAATAATGATGGAAACGGTTAAAGCCAGGAATTTAATTCTTAAAAAATTCTGGGCAGTGAGATTGAAAATGAATGATGAAAGGAAAAAAATAATAACAACAACAGATTTATGTTTAAGATCCAGAATTAGAAGGAAACAGTTACTAAATAAGATTAAGTTAGAAAAATCAAATAACAATAGAATACTAGCAAGAGACGATTATTATATAAAAGATAATCTAATGTATACTTATGATATGAACACTAGAGAGATTATACAATTGAATCATTTTTTGGGAACGAACATAAAACAAGCTTAGAAATAGCAGTGAATAAATTTAATGAATAAGGTTACAGTTAAAAATATTAACAAGAGTGGAGATAATTTGGTTGTTGCAGATGTTCGCCATCTGCAACAACCATCTGCAATGTCAGGGATAATGAAATGAGATTGTCAGATAGTGATAGAAATGGGCTGTTAGTAAGCTTTTGGAATGTCCAACATCTGAGAGGAAAATTACATAAAACCTCGGTGAGAGAATTCTTAGACTCAAATGACATAGTTGGAATCACAGAAACATGGATTTTAAATTTGAGTGTTGCAGAAAAAAATTATCTAGAACAAAAAAATAGCATAACAACTAGTAACGCTCAATGTAAAAGTAAGTTCGGCTGTCCTTCGGAATCCTGTTGTTGATTAAGAAGAGTTTGGGAGACATTCTTTATCAGTATATATCGGATTACTTTATAGTTGCAATAATAAAAGTAGATAATAATAATAAAACAAGATGGAATTATTCTTATTTGGGGTTAATAGTAATGTATCTCCCACCATCAATTGAGAAGAAAACCGTTTTACGTGAAGCTCAAAATTATATAGAAAGATGGTCTATTTTAGTCCAATTATGGTTAATTGGAGGAGATTTAAATGCGCACATTGGCAACAATACTGATACAGTGTTTTCTCAGAATTTTGACAATATTAGAAAGAGGAGAACATCCAAAGATAAATATAGAAGGTAATGTTCTCCTGGAATTTGTACAAGATAATCAGTTAATAATTTTGAATGGTAGAATAAAGGGAGATATTCCTGCTGAATTTACTTTTGTCTCCCTGAATGGAAAATCAACCATAGATTATGTTATTTGCTCAGAATTTATGATAGATACTGTAAGTCTCTGACAGTTCTGGAGGATGGCTCTTCGGGTCATTTTCCGATATAGCTGGAGTTGAAAAATTACTAAGGAATAAGAGGTGGTAAAATGTTCGACGAACAACTCCATACATTAAATACAGTATTGATTATAAACCATCTTATAATAAACGGAAATTGTTAAAAGAGATTGAGTTTATAATTGTAGAAATGTTAACCCTAGAGAAAGAGAATAAGCCAATAATTAATTACCTGAGACTTACAACAAAATTAGAAGATTTCAGATTTAAGAAATGCTTACGTCCCTATAAGCAAGCATATAAGCGTTAATTTAATGGCTTTTGTAAAAGGAAGTCATAATATAGTGCGCATAGAAGAGTGGATTATGATAAGTGGATTAAATATTTTAAAGAATTCTCAGAATATTATTTGATAAATCATAGACAAACACAAATGGAAGTTAAGATAATGCAAGTAATTAATCAAGAAGAGATAATTAAGGTGGAAGAAGTCTAGGAACGTATTAAAAAACTAAAAGATAAATCAACACCTGGATCGGATATGATACCCAATTCGCTTATTAAATTATTTCCCCTAGATCTAACCAACTACTTGACCAGACAATTCAATGAATTTTATAATCAAAGTATAATACCGGATAAATGGAATGAAATTATTTTCACAATGATATATAAACAAGGTAATAGGGAGGAGCCTTCGAACTACAGACCAATAGCTTTATTGTCAAGCTTTCGGAAAATATTCACATCAATCTTAGCTGATAAATTTAATAGCTGGACCGCTGCAAATAATTACAGGAATGCTATGCAATACACTTTTGTGGACAAAGGTGATACCCAAACAGCACTTTTCATTTTAATGTCATTAATTCAAATACAATTGCTCAAGAAAACACAAAGTCTTTGCTCTTTTTTTTGGATCTAGAAAAAGCGTATGACTCGATTAGTATAAATGATTTACAGAGAAAATTGAAAAAATATAAAGCATGTGATTACCTAATAAGAATGATAGGTTTGTTGTTTGGGAGATATGAGACGATTATTAAACAAGACAATAACATCTGGTCACTGCTTATAACATATAGAGGATTATTATAGGAAGACCCTTTGTCTCCTTACCTTTTAATTTTTATTTATTTGATTTAAATAGATGTTTTGTAAGGGATGAAGATGGCATTCAAATTGATAATCAAACTATACACTCAATCACATATGCAGACAACATTGTTCTAGTAGCTCCTACGGCTGCTGCACTTTGCAGGAAGATCTAAAGGTAAAAATAAATCCCAAAAAATTAGTAATAATGATTTTTAGAAATGGTAGTAATTTATCCAAAAAACAATGCCCTATATCAAGAAAGAAGAAGGGAAAATAGTTAACAAATTCAAATTCTTGGGAATAATATTTACTCCTAATTTATCATTTGATAAACATTATAAAAGATAAATTTTTTGCCTTAAATATTTAAATTGAATAAATAATCTAATTGTGTTATTTTGTAAAACTAAAATGAAGAATTTGCGAATACATTTTCAACTCTTTAATTCAATTGTTATGAATTCAATGGGCTATGCATCTCCAATTTGGAGTGCAGGTAAATTCAATGATTTTGAAAAAATACAAAACAGCTTTATTCATAGAATTTTCCAATTAGAATACAATATTCAGGCAGCGCTCTAAGATTGGAACTGAGTAGATATAAATTAAACACCATACTAATAAAAAGATATAATTTTTTGTAGAAATTTTATATAAATGAAGGAGATTTAACAATGAACTTATTGTATTCATTATATCATAATTTAAGAGTCATCATCATCTAATTTGAATAGGTTTTATTCATCATCTAATTTAAGACTCATCATCTAATTTAAGACTCATCATCATCTAATTTGAATAGGTTATTTCCTTTTCTTTTAGAAATGCAGTTATCGGATCAAAACAAATCTACAAATTGATTTAATACATTGTAGCTAGATAACCATCTAACAATGCAAAAGAAATTAATGTCATTTGGAAGTTCTCCGTCCTTTAATTCTTCAAGGAAATTTTTGAATTGTCAATGATTTTTTGCATTGGTGCAAATATAATTTACAATGTGTAACACTGTTTTCATAACATCAGGATATTTTAAATATTTTGTAACGAGATGTTCTCGGTGAATTATGCAGTGAATCGGTATGAATTGTGGATTTGAGAATCATCTTTTAAAAGCCCAATAAGACCGACTTTTTTACCCAGCATTGCCGGAGCTCCATCAGTTGCAATGCTTACAAGTTTATTAAGAGGCACATCAAAAGTTTTCATTCTGGAATCTAATGCATTTTTAATATCAACACCGCGGGTTGACTCTTGAAGTGCTACTAAATCTAATAATTCTTCTTTAACAACGAAGTCAGGTGAAACAAAACGTATGAAAACTGCCAATTGTGGAAGATCTGTGATATCTGTCGATTTGTCAAGGGCTAAGCTGAATGCAATACAGTTCTTCAAATCATTTTTTAAATTATATTCAAGAGATGTATTAATTGCAGTTATGCGTCGTTCGGTTGTGTCTCTCGAGATGGGAATTTGCAAAACAACTATGTGCAATGCTGCGTTATTTGGATCTAAAACTTTAAGTACATCTTCCGAGTTTAATAAACTCTCCCTCTCCATATGGGCGTTTTGCACAAGCAATATTCCAGGCAATAACAATAATAATGTGGCTTCAGCCACATTATTAGCTTGATTGCTAAAGGTCGTCAAAATTGACTGTTGTTTATTTAAATTTGATTTTAAAGAAACAAGTTTATCTGATTTTAATTTGGAATTTGGTGGTTACTGATTAGAAAACTGAGGATGATTGGTTTCATAATGTCAAACGTAAATTGCTAGCTTTATAATTTTTGACCGTAGAATTACAAACAACACAATGCTTTTCCATTATTGTCAACAAAAAAGAAATTCTCCTCCCACTCATTATTAAAACTTCTATTTTCTTGCTCATATTTTCTTTTTTTATTTTTATTCTCTGTCATCATTTTTTTAAAAGAACTGGAAATAAATAAAGAAATTTAGAAAATACAAGTTTTGTGTTATTAAAACAATAACAACACGTGTTACATACTACAAAACAAATTATAGTTAACTTACCAAAAATTCCAGATTACAAATTACAGTAGAGCATTGATTATCTGACTCATTTGGGGACTCGGGTTGGTCGGATAACCGAAAATAATGAAAAAAATACATTATTAGTATAGTATATTAGTATATCGCTATTAATTAGTTAAATGTAATTAGTATATCGTTAACCTACTTTGCGTTGAATTTTCATTGATGTTAAGCCGAACAAATTCTTTTTAAAAAATAATAATAGTCACTATTGTATCGTTAAAAATTATTTTTAAATTATTTTATTGCTCACAAAACAAACAACCACTCATAATTAGAAAATTAAATCTCGTTTAAATACTGGCCTCCCTTTTATGGTCGAGCCAGTGTTGCCAGCTAAACCATGCAACAATTTAACAAAAATTATATTAAAGTAGCCAAGACATAGCCAAATATTGTAACGCCACATCACTAGTGGACATTTGAAATTTGCCGACTAGAATGGTCGGTTAACTAAGGTGACGGTTAATCGGGGGTCGGATAATCGATGCTCTACTGTATATCTGTAGCAAGAGTGATACAAATTGTTTCCTCCAGAGCACAATGTCAACTGTCCATTGCAATGACAGTTTACAAATTCAAAATCGGTCTGGAGTCGATCGATAACGGACGATTATGCTACTGTTTATGTTCATTCGCACAGTTTTCGATGAGTCATATCATTCTTAACTTGGACGGAAATGAAATTTGTTACAACGTTGCACTTAGTCTTTCATATTTGTTATTAGTAATTTAAAAGACATTTTGAAACACATACAGAATGATAATAATTTTTAAAAATATAATAACACAAAAATGAAAAGGAACTTGGGTACATTTATCGAGAGCCACAAATAATCCTTCAAAGAGGCACAGGTTGGCCACCCCTGTTATATAACTATGTGAAGCAAGTTTTTAAATAAAAAACTGTAGTAAAATAGTCAATGGTTGTACTGTATGTTAGATAACTAGTGTACAATATATATGTAAAGAAGTTCTAATTGAGGCAGAATAACATGCTATGTTAATATTAGTTATGTGCTGGATCGTTAAAAATGTATATCCATGGATACAGAAACGGATCATTAGTGTCTAGATCCGCAGATACGGATCTCAACTTTTGTACTCAGTCGGCACCAGTGCTTGTGACCTTGGACTGATAGTTGACACTTTGCATTAGTAATGCAACGTGTTTTGACTCGCACTGCGCGTGTTTTTGTTTATAGTTTAGTGTGACACAGGATAGCATAGATTACGTTTGTATCTTTGGAGAGTGTTGAGTTAAATTAAAATAAAAACAATGTAGACAAAAAAGTTTAGTAGTGTAATATGGAAATATTTTACGATAGTAAATGAATTTTGCATGATAAAATTTTTGCAATATGAATGTGCCAAATATGTGATTTTAAGAAATAAAAAGTGATTTGAATTGAAGTTATTAGTATTTTATTGCTACCTATCTTTAAAATTTCATATAAGTAATGAAATTCATTAAGATAAAAGATCTATTAAAGATCCGCTAAAAAGTAACGGATATGGATCTTTTTTTCTTTCGGATATCCGGCACATCACTAGTTAATATACCACGTCCTTGTAACAGGCGAAAGCCTTATACGTTAAATAAACTTTGATTTGATAATTCAGTTTTATTAAATTTAGTTATATTTTTTGTAATAACCTTTGTTATTTGATTCCCAATAGTCTGAATTCTTTAAATAACACCAGATATTTTGTTATAATTAAAAAACATTGTTATATTAATTACTTCAACCAAGTATTAAAATTTCATATGTACTAATTTGCTAATAACTTTTTTTAAAAAAAGAGAATATCCACAAACCACATAGTTCAGTATTTGTAAATTTTGATTTCCTCTCCCATTCTGGTAATTCTTTGTGGTGGACTGTCCCGTCAGGAATTTTTCAGTAGGCCATTTGCTCAGTGGCTATTCCTTACTTTACCTGAGAAAAATAAATTATTAACAAAATAAAAGTGTTGTCTTTTCGTCTTTTGTATTCTAATTCAGGCTGTAAGAGCTATTGTGGTACATCCCATACTAACAGGCATCTAGCTCACTGTAAACATAGTTTATTACCTGAAATTTTAAAATGACTGGCCTTGATTTGGATATGAGTTACCATGGAATGGCTTCAGTAAACTGACATTTGAATTATCACAATGTGCATTTTGTAATTTCTGATTTGAAAATAACTGATCACAATTTAGGCTGTAACTAAGTTTTTTCTTTTGTGGACAAGAAGAGAACCTTTTTCTGCACCCATTGTGGCTGAACCCACAATGGGTGCAGAAAAAGGCCCACAATAGGGACAGTTATGTTGTGAGAAACAGAGCCTAACATACCTGGAACAAACCACTTTCCAAAAAATTCCTGTTTTTCGACCACTTGGATTCAATGCTGGGCCCCTCAGAATAGACTGATACCTCAACCATCAAGTCTACAATATATATTGTATTGCTATATATATATATTTATTTATTTATATTTGATATATAGTCCCAGGCCAAAATTTGTTGCTAGTCAATGCTGATTTGACAAATGACATATATCCTCAAAACCTTGTAGTGTATACCAGACTCCCAAAAACTTATATTTCTTGTATTTTTTTTAATTTAAACATTAGGTGGTAGATAGCAAATACTAAATCTTCTCAAAGCTGGTTGTATAGTAAATAACTCCAACAAACCTTTATAATTAAGCCAGCAAATAAAGTGTTTAATATATTTTGACAAGCGCTTTCAATCCTAATTGGGATCTGCTTCAGGTCAAAACGTTCTATACAAAAATTGGAATGTTTAAAGAACAATTTTTAATTTTAAAATCACTAATGATTAAATTTTGGAACAAATACAAAAATTCCCATCTACATGCTAACGGTTAAATATTTTAACACACACAAAAATCACAACTGTGTGTTAATATTAACATTAAAAATAAAAATTAACATAAAAATTTAGCATGTATATTGTAACAAATCCCAATGGAAGTGGTTGATTTCTATTGGTTGTTAGTCACAAAAGTTTATGTTGGTTATATTGCAAGTATATTTTATGTTAAAGGAAATTTGTAAATGCCATTGATTAATCAAAACATGGTGGATATTGCAAAAGCAATAAGAAAAGTGTAATTATAAAGTGTAGGAAAGCAATAAGGTGAAATGTATGATATAGTAATGAATGCTTGAGTACATCCAAACTTAAATTTTTTTATTGTCCTCCTTCAGTGATAGTAATTCCTCAACAATAGCTTCTTGCATGAGTGGAAATGTATAAAATTAGATCATCAAACCAAATATATGTAGCCATAAATAAGATAGTTTAGTTTGTTATTTATGGCTACACATGATTAAAAGTGACAATAAACTGTATATAAGCTGGAATGGAATGATCCATGAAATCTGTCTGATTTGTAAGAATCATAATTGTATGCATCTCATATTTTAGAGATTAACCAAATCAAAACACTTCAAGAAACAAGTTATTGCACTGAGTAAGTTCAAAGCTTGAAAAAAAAAATGTCAAGCAGATTTTGGATAGTTTCCAATAAAGAAATCAAATGTTATTTGGTTTCTACTTTGGAAACTATTAACAGAATCAAGAAACCCAACTTAGAATTAGAGATTCTCAAATAAGGAAAATTAGAATTCTTTCATGAATAGTTTATTTTTATTGAGTTAATATGACTTATAAACTTTCATTTAAATAATAACCTTAGCATGATTTAAAAAGGTTTATGTAATGAAAACACAGCAAATGTAACTGACAGTTCTATTAAAGTACTTAATACGAAAGAATTAAAACATGCTGTTTTACAAAAAAATCAATACTTACCACAAAAGCCAAAAAACAAAATTAGGAAGATTGTTATTGGTTTTTCTAAAATTTCATAAGAAAATAAACTTTGGTGACCAAAAGAGATTTACAATAAAATAAGTATGCACTGTTATTTCCCACTACAGTCACATGTTCATTTGAATAATAAACTGAAAAGTTATTCTTATTACTTTATTATAAAAAAAGCTATATCAAATACTATCAAATCACTTTTTCTACTATAGAAATCGATAGGAGCATTTTGGAAATAGCAAAAACACATTTGTCATATTTCAAAATGTTAGTACTAATTCAGATTTGTTTAAACCTAATCACTAAAACTAAATTGACCAAGATATATCTATTTTAACCTCATTGATCACTTGTCCACTTGCTAAAGACTTGAAAGTAATGATTTGATGTATGACTTATGGCACATAAAATAATGGCTTATATAAAGTAATGATTTATGAATTGATAATTTATAATGACAGCCAAATTTTAGTAGTAAACACAATGTATGACAGGTTATATTTTAATGGTAACTGAAAAAAATTTTTTATTTTTAAAATATGTAAAGNAAAAGTCCTTAAAAGTGCTTAATTTTCTATTATCAACTCAAAAACAATTATGAAAAAATATTTCTTTATGAAAATCATTCTCTTCTAACTAATCAAAAACCAGATAATAGAATAGCTTATAGTCACGACTTCAGTGGTTTACTAGTCATTCATTTGAATAAATCCAAAAAATGGCCAGAATACATTCCTATTGTAAACAATTTATTGGTGATATGAGTTACATGTAGAAATATTGCAATCATGAATGTTTTGATTGATTTTAATTTTTAATATATTTAGTGGAAAAATTTATTTTTATAAAACAAAAATTGTGTTCATCTTATTAAAAAAGTGTTTTCAAGACCTTATATACATACTGTATTTATCAATTTTTCACTTAAACTATGCAATTACACAAAGTTTGTTATTCAAAAATACTAGAAAAGAAATTCTAGGTTTTAAGGAAATTATATACAATTATTTTTTATTAGGAGGTTGTTATTCATATTCAAATTACTTATATTTTAAGCACACTTTAAAGACATAACAATGATTTCTTTTCCAGTAATGAATAATAAGGTGACCAACTTTCTTACAATGAAAAGGAGAACAGAAATAAATTGAAGGAAAAAACATTTTATTCATTGCAACAATAATACACTATAATAATCTCTACTGCATGTGTATGTGCTGTGTCGTGTTTCAGTAAGAAGTAAACAAGCCACTTGTGTGTGGAGCGCGTGCGTCTCGTAATCGCATCTCGCCGCACCGTACCGAGCCATGATGAATAGTCATGTCAAATACAAACACATTACATCACATCGGCTTGGCATCAATTTAATATGGAGATTTACAGATTAGTCTTCAAATATATCGAAAAGGAGGACATGTAAGAGGACACTTTTTGAGGGAGGACAGAACTTACAAAAGAAGGACTGTCCTTCCTAAAGGACAATCCTTCTTTTGTATTAAAAAGGAGGATGATTATTAAGTATATTATTCATAAGGTGATTAAAGTATTTTTAAAAATAAATTAAGGTAAGGTACATATAAAAAATACATCTATTCCTTTCATGAGCAGAAATAAGTAATGACTTGTTACTGCAGTTTGTAAGAGAACCAAGAATTTGGAATTTCGAAAACTGTTTATTTTGAATTACCAAAGAACCAATTCATCCAGCTGAAAAGAATCTTAGGATTCTATTTACAAGAAGAATCAGATTGTCCATTTCTACATTTGTTTGTTCCTCTGTTCAGTGAATCATCCCTTTGTTCAGTTACTTGTATATTTACCAAAATGCCTGGAAAATGTATGTTTAATGGAATTTAGAGCAAATGTCAATATCAAGAGTATAAAGGATGAATTTCTCCAGTTTCTGATAACATTTTGCAGAATATGTAAGAAATTAGATATATTCTCAGATGAGAGAATCAGCCTTGAAAGTACATCAGAAAGATATGTTTATCTTGTCTTTCTCTTTTGCATGAAATAAGGCAGATTAGTGATAGAAATATTAAATATAGATTTACTATATCCAGACTCAGAATTTCTGCTTGCCAGGTTTCTATTGATGTTTTGTGATTAAAGACAAGAATAAAATTTAATTAGATGAAATGAATTTGAGCATCATGACCAAAATTCCTACATTATTCAAAAATAAATTATGCCTTACAATGATTGGATGTGTGTCAGTTAGACAATTGACACACAATTTAATTTTTTACAATATGTTTGTTTTATTGTTCAAAATAGTGCACTTTTCAATTTTATGTATTTTTATTATAAAAAAATTACACACATACAGTCAATTATTTGATACTGTTGGAACTGACCTATTATGTATAATCCTAACTTTCTTCCCAGGGAGATTTGTGTATTATGTGATTGATGCTATTAAATTTTGATGGTTAAAGGTCAAGGGGTGGGGAGATAAAGGGGATCACGTGTTTTATCTCGAGTAGTGTTGGAGTTAATGATGATATTACTCATTATTAGCATTTACATTTTTTTATAAAGCTCATCTCTACCCTAAAAATTAAGCTTTTTCCATTTATAATAATTGAAAATGTAAAAAGTATTTAAATAAAATATCGTAACAGATGGTGCCCCACACAGTTTTAATTGTTGCCAGGAAAGTTAAAACCAATAAAAAATCCAACAAGTTGCTTAAGGTCTGGAATCAATCTACTTTTCATTTGGCAGTATATTTTTACAAAGGTTTTTTTGGAAATATATCTGTTGTGTGTAATTAGATTATTATGTAATTGGATTTAAAAGTATTCCCAAAATATATTATATTCTTATTTAATTACACAAAGAAAATGTTTTGTTTAAATGTTAAATTAACTTCATTACCGTTAATATAAACATTGATTTATTTATAATGTTTACAATTTTTAACAGCACTCAATGTTATCTCAAAAATTTGTGGAAGTAATGACTGATTACAATAAAACACAAACAGATTACAGAGAGAGATGCAAAGCTCGTATTCAAAGACAGTTGGAAATCAGTATGTAAATTTTATGTTTTTGATGATAAATTTTGATTATTTATAATGTTTTAATTACTGTCAATAACTTATTTAAAAATTAGTATTGTATATTTAAATCTTGTGAGAAGTAATATGAGAAAGTTTGTTGAATCCAATAGTCATATTTTGTGATGCCACGAGCCATCAGTGCAAAAAGCAAAGTGGTTCACATCATCATAAAGTCTGACTCTCAGCCTTATCCGGTAGAGGAGAAGAAAAACCTAAAAGGGGATAATTCAAAAATTTTAAATATTTGATAATTTATAAGTACCTTTTTATTAACATGTACTTGTTTTGCAGATGTCTGATAAACCATATTTGCCATCATAAATGTTTCTAAAACAATGTTTTAGAAGTTTGGATAAATAAAATTTTTTTGTCATCAAGGGGAAGGACTTAATCTTTATATACTGTAAAACTTTATTTTTTAATAATTTAATCCATCTTTATAGTATTAGTTACTCTTGTACCAAGTTTTAATGTAAAAGATTGGATTTTATTACAGTAATAGTTTTAGTGATTAAGATTTATGATGTAAAGTGGACATTTAAAAGTAATGCCAATTTGCTACAGTATCGAATATTTTATTTTAGATGCATTTCTGAAACAAAAACAGCTATTTACTTTCTACATGTTTTAATATTTTATCAAAATTACAAAAAAGAAAATCAAATTAAAAGTTGGCAGTTATTTGGATTGTAGGGTGAAGTAAATTAATTAAATAATTATCACAAATGGAAATAGTTCTTATAGTAATTTACATTTTGAATTTAATCACAAAATATGGAAACTAGCTTAATAAAAAGTTAAGAAGTTAAATTTACTATTTCATTTTGAGATTCCAATATTATTTATTTGCTATCCTGCAAGACTAATTATTTTATATAAGAGCAGCAATTGGAGCTGTAAAGAGCAAGTTCTTGTTAATAAAAAGATAGATGAAAAGTCAGTTGATTTAGCACAAATGAAAAATTTCAATTCCATGTAAGTGCAGAATGAAACTTTAATATAAATTCCATTACCACATTTATTCAAGTAACAATTGAAATAATGATACCAATCCAATCAACACTTTATAAAAATTTCTGTATGTGAATCTACTTGATAAAAGTATATATTATAAATTCTAAATAATTCCCCAAAGGAGCTTATTTCTATTGCTTGTTAGAAGAAATTATTTTTTGTAGCTAGTTATAAAATAATGATAATGTAAGATGAATATATTTTTAATGTTACAACTGTTTTTTCCCAACTTTAATGGTCTATATAGCAAAATTACAAAAATTAATTCTAATAGTCTAGTACAGGGGTCAGCAGTTTGTCAAGTGAGAAGAGCCAAATTGTCATGAAAACAGGATAACAAAAGTACCAGAGAGCCGCATGTTAATTTAAATGTGCGAAATACGACACACGACAGGGGTGCCTCTAGTGGCCGTTTTCGGCATAACGTTACACGGATGGACAGACATGCGTTCAATGGGTTATATATATAGATATGCTTCAAATGCTACCACTCTTATGCAACTCATATTGATCAACACGAGTGTGGTCATATGCGGAAGGAGAACAAGTCGAAGTTTGTTCGGCGGCTCTATCTCATAAACTCTTAAGTTATAAGGCTGCGGTGAAATGAGGTGAAATGAAATTGGAGTTTATGTCCGAAGAGCCGCAAACGTCTATGCAAAGAGCCGCCTGCGGCTTGCGAGCCGCTAATTCTGACCCCTGGTCTAGTATAAATGATTAAAATTAAAGAGTTCATTATTATTTTTTCTCTTCTTTCTGGGGAATATAAAATAAATTAATATTGCTTTGATAATGTTATGATTGAAAAGTGATATTGAATTTTTTTTAATTTAGCATTTAGGGTAGAAAGAAATTGGTTTTGTTACTAGATAATGATATAATTTACATATTTAAATAAATGTGTGTTATTTGGTAATTTCATTGGTTAAAAATAAATGTTTTGATATTAATATATACACTTGATTTTGTCATTAAAAAGAAATGCAAATACTTTTCTATTTATGAACTATTTCAAAATGTTTTTTTACAAAATTTAGAAATAAAATTTTTTATTAAAATTATTGTCTTCAAACAACTTCATATTTCTTCCATGTTTTGAAACCATGTCGTATTTGTTATATTTGTTCTGTAAGCGCAGCAACAATCACTTGGCACAGTTCACCTCAACACACCGAAACGTGTGTGTAAACATGTATCAACGAAAATTGAAATAAAGAGGTGAATTGTGCCAAGTGATCACTGTTGCGCTGTGTTGCGCTTACAGAACAAACTTCAGATTTATTCAAAATTACTGTTATTTAATTTAATTTTATTCTTGATTAACACATGGAATTAAGATGTAAGTATAGATTCTCAATATGAAAGAAATAAGTTTTTATCACAAATATAAACATGTTTATATATTCTAAAAGTATTATACTTAGTAAAAAAACATTTATTTAATAATATTTTTTAGATGCAATATTAAGTTTTAAAAAAAGAAATTTTACTAGAAAGTTAATTTTAAAAATTTCATAATTTATTTACATATTTTGTCTTCAACGTGATATTTGTTTTATTACCAATAATCAGGATCTTATGCTCCTGTTATATTATATATGTTTTTTCATTTTCTCTCTTAACTGCCTACTTCCTTCCCATCTTAGAATATTTTCTGCTTTTGTTACATCATTTATATTATTATTTTTGTTTTTTTCCTATTTAAATTCTAATATGGTACCTTCAGTAAAAAATTATTTAAATTCTTAATAAATCTACTCTTTGTTTTCTGATCCTTTGTTCTCCAGTTGTTGGCATATTTCCTCTGTGAAATTTTTTAACGAAACTAAAAAGATCAGATGGTCTTTTGTAAATAAAAATTCCTCTTTTTTACTGCATAAAAGTATACACCCAATTGTTTTAACATGGATTTTTTTTAAATGTGAACTTCATTTAACAAATCTTTGAAGAAAAAGTTTAATTCTCTGTATACATAGGTGCATAAGCTTAAATCCACTGTTTTTTAGTCAGAAAAACACACGTTTTTTTCTTAGAAAGCAAAAACAAATTTATTCAAAGTACTTTCCCTCACTAGTGACACATTTGTTCCATCTCTCGGACAATGTGTGGATACCATGCCAAAAAAATTTCTTCTCTTTCGAGGCAAACCACTCATCAAGCCATTTTCGGACGTCTTCGTAAGAATCAAAGTGCCACTCAGCAAGCGCGTGGCCCATCAATGAAAAGAGGTGATAGTCGGAAGGGGCCAGGTCTGGTGAATAAGCAGGATGGGGTAGCACCTCCCAGTTGAGTGTCTCCAAGTAGTTTCGGACCAATGTTGACACATGCGATGGTGCATTGTCGTGGAGGAAAATCAGCTTGTCGTGTCTTTACTGATAATCCGGCCTTTTTTCACGCAGAGCACAGTGCAATTTGATCAGTTGTTGGTGGTAGCAGTGAGCATTGACAGTTTCACCAGGTTTCAACAGCTCATAGTAGACAATACCCTGCTGATCCCACTAAACGCACAGCATTGTCTTCCGTCCAAAGCAATTTTGTCTTGGGAAAGATGTTGATGGTTTGCCTGGATCAACCCACAATTTCTTGCGTTTAGGATTCTCAAAATATATCCATTTCTCATCGCCAGTTACAATCCGATGCAGAAACAACTTTCTTTTTTGTCTGGCGAGCAAGATTTCGCATGTGTTTTGGCGTTGCTCCATCTGCCTATCATTCAATTCATGCGGCACCCATTTTCCGATCTTCTGAATCTTTCCCATGGCAAGTAGACGCATGGAAATGGCTGGTTGAGTAACACCCAATTGCTCGGCAAACATTTTTTGCGATTGGATATCGTCCTCATCCGAAAGAGCCTGCAGTTGATGGTCCTCAACCTTCCTGGGCTGATTTTCACGCTTCTTGTCGCTCAGGTAAAAATTTCCATCTTTGAACTGACGAAATCAATCTCTGCATGTGGTTTCCGATAAAGCTCTGTCTCCATAAGCCTCCACAAGCATTCGATTGCTTTGGCAGTCGATTTCTTCAAATTAAAGCAGAAAAGCAAAGCTTGCCGCAGATGCTCTTTTTCTGGCACAAAAGTAGACATGATTACAAAAAAAAATATATGTTGTTGTATGAAATATCTGATGATGTGCACTGATTAATGTTGACAGATGTCAAAATCATTAAAAAAACAATATGGCGTTGGCATGGTAACTTAATACGCTCGCTTACGCCATCTATTAGCAAACAGCGGATTTAAGCTTATACACCCGGTACATGATTTATTTTTATCCAACACATTTCAATAAATTTGCCTGTTTAAAAATCTCCAATTGATTTTAATTCTAAGAAAAAGTATTCATACTTCCTTTCTATAAAATTGCTTTCTTTAAAATCAATTCCTAGAATTTTCATTTAAGGTTGTTACACATACTCAAGTAAACTTTTAAGATTTGGCTATTTTCTACAACTTACTTGAACATGAGTAGTGACAATCAGTGTTTTATCCCATGATTGAAGCAGTCAGAAAAAACTTATTCCAATTTCTTTCAATACAGAATGGTTTGTATGACATTTAATAATAAAGCTACAGCAAGGTTCCTATGATCCTTACAAATCTTTAGAATGTGCTTAATGTTTTTTGTGATGCATAAAAATACTTATTTTTCTTAAAAATTGGCAAAAAGTCCTTAAAAGTGCTTAATTTTCTATTATCAACTCAAAAACAATTATGAAAAAATATTTCTTTATGAAAATCATTCTCTTCTAACTAATCAAAAACCAGATAATAGAATAGCTTATAGTCACGACTTCAGTGGTTTACTAGTCATTCATTTGAATAAATCCAAAAAATGGCCAGAATACATTCCTATTGTAAACAATTTATTGGTGATATGAGTTACATGTAGAAATATTGCAATCATGAATGTTTTGATTGATTTTAATTTTTAATATATTTAGTGGAAAAATTTATTTTTATAAAACAAAAATTGTGTTCATCTTATTAAAAAAGTGTTTTCAAGACCTTATATACATACTGTATTTATCAATTTTTCACTTAAACTATGCAATTACACAAAGTTTGTTATTCAAAAATACTAGAAAAGAAATTCTAGGTTTTAAGGAAATTATATACAATTATTTTTTATTAGGAGGTTGTTATTCATATTCAAATTACTTATATTTTAAGCACACTTTAAAGACATAACAATGATTTCTTTTCCAGTAATGAATAATAAGGTGACCAACTTTCTTACAATGAAAAGGAGAACAGAAATAAATTGAAGGAAAAAACATTTTATTCATTGCAACAATAATACACTATAATAATCTCTACTGCATGTGTATGTGCTGTGTCGTGTTTCAGTAAGAAGTAAACAAGCCACTTGTGTGTGGAGCGCGTGCGTCTCGTAATCGCATCTCGCCGCACCGTACCGAGCCATGATGAATAGTCATGTCAAATACAAACACATTACATCACATCGGCTTGGCATCAATTTAATATGGAGATTTACAGATTAGTCTTCAAATATATCGAAAAGGAGGACATGTAAGAGGACACTTTTTGAGGGAGGACAGAACTTACAAAAGAAGGACTGTCCTTCCTAAAGGACAATCCTTCTTTTGTATTAAAAAGGAGGATGATTATTAAGTATATTATTCATAAGGTGATTAAAGTATTTTTAAAAATAAATTAAGGTAAGGTACATATAAAAAATACATCTATTCCTTTCATGAGCAGAAATAAGTAATGACTTGTTACTGCAGTTTGTAAGAGAACCAAGAATTTGGAATTTCGAAAACTGTTTATTTTGAATTACCAAAGAACCAATTCATCCAGCTGAAAAGAATCTTAGGATTCTATTTACAAGAAGAATCAGATTGTCCATTTCTACATTTGTTTGTTCCTCTGTTCAGTGAATCATCCCTTTGTTCAGTTACTTGTATATTTACCAAAATGCCTGGAAAATGTATGTTTAATGGAATTTAGAGCAAATGTCAATATCAAGAGTATAAAGGATGAATTTCTCCAGTTTCTGATAACATTTTGCAGAATATGTAAGAAATTAGATATATTCTCAGATGAGAGAATCAGCCTTGAAAGTACATCAGAAAGATATGTTTATCTTGTCTTTCTCTTTTGCATGAAATAAGGCAGATTAGTGATAGAAATATTAAATATAGATTTACTATATCCAGACTCAGAATTTCTGCTTGCCAGGTTTCTATTGATGTTTTGTGATTAAAGACAAGAATAAAATTTAATTAGATGAAATGAATTTGAGCATCATGACCAAAATTCCTACATTATTCAAAAATAAATTATGCCTTACAATGATTGGATGTGTGTCAGTTAGACAATTGACACACAATTTAATTTTTTACAATATGTTTGTTTTATTGTTCAAAATAGTGCACTTTTCAATTTTATGTATTTTTATTATAAAAAAATTACACACATACAGTCAATTATTTGATACTGTTGGAACTGACCTATTATGTATAATCCTAACTTTCTTCCCAGGGAGATTTGTGTATTATGTGATTGATGCTATTAAATTTTGATGGTTAAAGGTCAAGGGGTGGGGAGATAAAGGGGATCACGTGTTTTATCTCGAGTAGTGTTGGAGTTAATGATGATATTACTCATTATTAGCATTTACATTTTTTTATAAAGCTCATCTCTACCCTAAAAATTAAGCTTTTTCCATTTATAATAATTGAAAATGTAAAAAGTATTTAAATAAAATATCGTAACAGATGGTGCCCCACACAGTTTTAATTGTTGCCAGGAAAGTTAAAACCAATAAAAAATCCAACAAGTTGCTTAAGGTCTGGAATCAATCTACTTTTCATTTGGCAGTATATTTTTACAAAGGTTTTTTTGGAAATATATCTGTTGTGTGTAATTAGATTATTATGTAATTGGATTTAAAAGTATTCCCAAAATATATTATATTCTTATTTAATTACACAAAGAAAATGTTTTGTTTAAATGTTAAATTAACTTCATTACCGTTAATATAATAATTACTGCTTTTCACAATTATGGATAGTGTATATATTATTTTGTTGATTCATTAGTTCCCAATCAAAACTGTAAAAATATATAGGAAAATCATTTGTTGTAGTCAAAAATTTTGTTGTTTTTATCATTTTTTTAATCTTTATTTTAAATATTATAAATAGGAGTACGTTGATTAATGTTAGGAATATCAAAAAGTGTTCTTACTTACACATTATGGAAATTTTTCACATAAATGTGACATCTGCTAGGATGATATCTAAAATCTACAGAGGAAAAAAGTTGGAGAAGAAAAAATTGCAATCTATGAAATTGTAAGTCATAAATCAACCAATTTTGAAATGCTGTGCTTCCTTAAATACTAAAAATCCTGAAATGCTTACAAAAAAGAGAAATTTTATTTGTGAGCTGTACAAAATAAGCAGTATATGATAAACCTAAAATGAGTTTTTTTTTTAATTCTCATTTTCAGTTATACAAATTAAATAAGATTTTAGTCATACGTTTTTGCTATATATTAGTAAATATTGGAACAATATTTGAGGACCTACTTGAGGACATAAATGATGAAAACCATTGTAGTTAAATATGTTCTGAGAAAGCAAAATCTTATTAAAAAAGTTATACTGTGTTGTGTGATGATTAGTACTTGGGATTCATGGTCAAATAAAGAAACCGTGTTACTAGATAAAGAAGATCGGGTAATTTCACAAGTAGTTTATTTCGCGTACATATACTAGTTTTTAATAAGGATTTCAATGTCGTGTTGCCATACAGAAATGCACCAAATGTTACAGTACAATCACTATTTTAACTACTCCAAACCGACATATGTTACTCGCAACGACTTGGGTACGAGTCTTAAAACCAATCTTATAAACTAAAGTACAACTAAAATTAGAATAAGGATAAGTTCATTTGGAGGTAAAGAGTAAGATTTAGCAAAGATAAAAATACCCAGGTTTGGTTCTGTATGTTCGATGGGTGAGATGCCACGTGAGTTCTTTCACAAGGGTTGATAAATTCCTTTTTCCTATATCAAATTCTCCTATTACTTTCTCCTTGCAATCTCTAATTCTGTACTACCCTGTCATCACCACGATAAGACAGGATTCTTTCCTCAGAATAATCGATGTTCTCCGATTGCGGTTAACGCCGACTCTGAGTGCTCAAATTCACATCTGCCTACTTCCAGGTTTCCAAAAAGAATGATGTGCCTCGCGTCCCTTAAGCCTCAGGGTCTTACTCTCCCCTTTGTTCACATTAGTTCCTGGAACTGGTAATCTCATCCAAGGGAAAGGAGTTAGGGAGGAAAGTTCTAGAAGGAAAGAGAACAAAGGGCTAATATACTGAACTTATATTAATATATATAATATTATATGGCTTGCAGCCACAGTTGATACTGCAAAGTAGAAGCAAAAGTAGCAATTGAAATAAAAAGGCAAGAACCATAGAACATGTAAATGTAATGTGAATAAATTCAACTCCAGCTGAAATGAACTGTAAATTTGGACTAGAACCGAGCTGACTCAAAATTCTGAGCTGTGGCTCAGCTTAGTTCATTTGTTAGAACTCTAATACAACAAATTCCATTATTGAGAAGTGTCCGTCCATAGTGGAGAAAACAAAAATACAATCCAAACATATATATAATAAAAATGTTATCAAAATTAGAAGGGAGAAAGAAAACAAAAAGTTAAATAGACAAATACAGTATGAATTATATAAAGACAATAACTTGAAGTTAGTTTCTAAAACATTTTAAAAAAAGATGAGAGAGTTAAAGAATAAAATAATCAGGGATGAAGTTCAGTTTATGTATTGTTTATTATGGTCCAAATATAATTTAACAAACCAAATTCTGTTGGATTTCTTGGGATGTAATTTTGATTTTTTTTACTTTTAATTAAAAATAATAGAAATAGAGCCTAAGAGATTCTGTTCACTTTCTTTTATTATTTATAATTAAATGTAATTGTCACACATCTAATACTTGTTTAATTGTAAAAACCTAAATTGTAATAAATGTGTTTTTATTTTTAGAGATAATTTAAACTAATAGGTAATTTTACTTATTTAGCTGGAAAGGTAACTACTGATGATGAACTAGAAGACATGTTGGAAAGTGGAAATCCAGCTATCTTCACACAGGGTGTAAGTTATTTAATTCAAAGACATTTTTAATAAATGATAAACATCAAGTTATTTAATTTTTTAACTTGAACAACACTAATGATATAAAAATAACTATTATATTTGAAACTTTATAGAAAGTTTTAAGAGTTTTTACATTATTTTATAGATTAAAAAGAAAAATTATTATTTTTCATTTTTCTGTAAGTTCTGAATGTGTCTTTTAAATTTGAATTTTTATTAATTCAAATAATATGGCAAATATTCAATAGTTTAATAAATTTGCTATTTACAAATTAACTTAGTAAATTTCTTATTAATGATATAAAAATCAATATATTGCAAGTGCTTCGGTAAATAATTATCAATTGTTTTTCAAGATAAAAACTAATTATTTTTAGTAAATGTCACATAACAGTAATTAAAACAATTACTAGAATATGGATGATTAAAATTTACAATAATTTTTTACAATATTTATAACTTTATTTATAAAATAGATCATCATGGAGACACAACAGGCCAAGCAGACACTGGCAGACATTGAAGCTCGTCATGAAGATATCATAAAATTGGAAAGTAGTATTCGTGAACTGCACGACATGTTTATGGATATGGCAATGTTAGTGGAGAGTCAGGTAAATTATTATTAAGTTATACGTGGAAATGTTTTATGTAAAATTAATGCAAACATAAACCATTGCCCAGCATTCAAGTAATGAAAGATCTAAACACCAGATTATTAATGGGCTACAACTGTGCTATTAATTAACAGCATTGTTATAGTGCATAAGTAAAAATTTTTAATTTTTCCAATAAAATCATAATAAAATAAATTATTTATTGGATTATAAAGACTTCTGTTCATGAATTTAAATTTTTTGTTTCAATGGTTGATTTTACTATGTGAAATTATAAAACAATCAGAAATCTATACTGTTGGAATATTTTCAGTTTCGCTTATGTTGTCTATAAAATTATAAACTAACCTCTAAGTTCTTTTATTGAATTTTTCAAAAATTATCTTCAGACTATCTTCTTTAATGATTTGATATTACAAAATATTTTTATAAATTAATGTGTTAGATAATTGATAAATAAGATAGTAATTAGATAAATAACACATTTACTACTTTGAGAGATCCAAGCTCAACTCTCTAAGCTTAGTGTTTATCGTGAATGAATTGGGTCAGTTTAGAGCAGTATTCTTAACCTTTCTAAGGCCACAGAATGCCATTCTGATATTTGTCATTACACAGACCATTAGTATCAATATATTCAAAAACCAACAAGCAGTACCATCTTTGCTGTTCTTATAAAGTGAAGAAACAATAAACTAATAAACTTTATTGTATTGAATGAAATAGAAAAGTGCAATTGTCTATGAATAAAGGAATGTGGTGGTGTACATTTTAAAATTTTTATTGCAAATTTATTCCAATCTTTTTTCAAGGAACACTCAAGGCAAGTTTGTGGAACACTGAGAACCACTGGTTAGAGTTTCATTCCTCATTTATCCACAATTTAATTGATTAACATATGACAATATATTAAAAATGTATTCTTATAGTTACTAGGGAGTTAAAGTACAAGTAAGGTAAAAAGTAATCTGTACTTTTAAATTCAATGCTAAATAGATTCTCTATCTTTAAATAATATAGAATTTTATTTAAAAGAAGATATACAAATCATTATTGGAAAATAATTGAAATTATTTTAAATATCTTAATGCACACAATCAAGCTGATAATACAGGTACACAATCTCTTATTGAAATTCTGAAAACGGGAAACTTTTTCAAGGAGGCATTCACAAAAGAAAACTCACATTTGATGTGAAATAAATCTCAATGTTTTAGTCAATCCATTTCTAACAAGCAATTATTACATTGTCACAATGTCAGACTGCAATTTTTATTCATCTTTTAATTTAAAAAATCATATAAACTTCCAGTCTGAACCAGAAATTATGTATGATAAACAGGGTCTTTGGCTCCTAAGCTTTCCATATTTGGTCTGCGTTTTAGTGATATTTTGCCCCTGTACATCATACTTCTCTTGTTAACAATCAAATCATGCTAGTTATCTAACTCCATTCTTGAAAAATCTTGAACTGAAATCACGTGACTTCTTGTTCAGACCAGAAGTTTGTATACAATTAATTAGTGTGTCCAGCCCTTGAGCTTTTTATACTCTTATAAGAGTAATGAAGGGCAGATAGATGACTGCAGAAATGCTCTGCAGTTTGAAAATAGTTCTCTACTGCTTACTGATATATTGTTTATAGTTTTTTGTGATTTTATAACTTTGAGGAATGAAGATGCGAAAGACCTGCAGATTCCCTTATGGAAGACATATAGCACAACAGATACTTAGCTTAATTTGAACCTGTTTATCTTTGAAATTTAAATGGATTTTTTATTTACAAAATAAAGTGTGCTAGTAATTTTGTGGTTTATCTTTATCTAACTTAAAATAACAGTGCAATGAATAATATTTCCTATCTAGTATTGATTAGCTATGAAATACTTTCATTAAGCTCCATTGTGACAACCATTGTGAAATCTGAAAAATTCCAAACTCAAAAACATATCTGATGTCAAGAATGTCAGATAAAAATATACTATAGATATATGATCTCAAGTGTTTGTTTTCCCCCCTCTCTCTCTGTAGGTCAGATTGTAATCACTTTCAATACTATTTCATGTGTACTGTACATGTTTCAGATTTTAAGTTATTTTGGGAACTACTTTAACTACTTTGTAGGAAAGGTTTATGGCATTGCATTCATTCAAAATTAAAATAATTTGTTTTGATTGATTTTGCTTTTAATGTATCCTTATATGTAGAATTCATTTCATATATATGAAATGCATTCTACATACATATTTTCTGTAATAATCTTAATTAATGTTTCATTTAAATATAGGGAGAAATGATTGATAGGATTGAATACCATTGTGAACATGCTAGAGATTATATTGAAACTGCCAAGCAAGATACAAAGAAAGCATTAGCATACCAGAGCAAGGCTCGAAGAGTAAGTATAAATTTGATGATAAATATTATATTATGGTGTGTGTGGATTACAGACTACTCAGTTAATACCATTGCTCAGTGCTGTCTGGACCACAATAAAGGCATACCTACAGGACACCTCTTTTTGTGGTTGTGTGCTCTTTGTGTATTCATATCTGTGTCTAAGAATTCCTAATTATGTTGCAAATGTTAAGTATGGCTACTTTCTCTAATGTGATGTATGTGCTGTTGTGAAGTCCTAATATTTCTAGAGTTTTGTCTAGTATATGTAGCTTGATGTGCAAGAAAAGACTTTGGGCATAAGTACCATTCTCTACAGACTTTATTTCAGGTGAGTTCAGAGTATTTGCTAACTTTTTTAGTATGTTGCATTGTTGTGGGTATTTTGAACAGTTATGTCTACAACATATATGATTTTGTTTGTCAACGAATGTGATGGATTCTTTTGTTTGTGATTATGGCTCAATATAGTATAATTTGTGTGTATTATTTTCTATGACCATTTGAGGTGTATCTATAAAGTATGGTTGCTGTGTGTTTGCAAGCTTTTGATGTATTACACTTGGTATTTTGTTATGGTAATGTTAGTAGTCAGTTACGTGTATAATATGTCATTTACTATAAGTATCATCTGTGAGTGTTAGCTTTTAAAATGTGCTTTCTATAGTTTTTTTGACCTAGTCTTGTATGGCAATCATGAACCTTTCTGTCTCTCCAAAAAGTCGAGTCAGCCAATGGTTTGACACAATTCTGCCAACATGATCCTGGTTGAAATTGCTAATACCTACCATGGAGCTCTTTCTGAGCCCAAGACTGTCTAGTGGTGTCTGTGCATTTTTGTATGCTGCATTAGATCCAGGTTAGTGTTGTGCAGGTGTTTAATGGTGTATTTTTTGGTCTGCAAGAGCTACAGCTTTGTGTAATTGTGATGTTTCTTATTTTCTACAGAGAACTCTTGTAGTGTCTGTATTTGCTTGTAGTGCATATTTAAAATATTTTGTCCTCCCTCTTTATAAGGAAGAGTTAGCCTTTCTACAGAGAACTTAAGAGTGGTGTTTGTTCTGTTAATGCTGTTTTTGTTATTTGGAATTGTTCTCGTTCTGTTTGTGTTCAGTGTATAACTCCAAATGAATGTTAGTGCTAAGGTGATGTGTTGAAATCAGAAACGCATTTAAAGCAATCAACCGTGTTTTTAAGCATTGAGTTCAATCTGTTGTATTCTTCTGTTAGTCTGTTTTATTTGTGTGTATTCTGTGAATTTGGCCTGCTAGAATTGTAAGTATTTATAAACATTTTCTTCATTTAATGATGTCTTCATTTCTGTAGGAAATCATTATCTTATGGATTATTTTTTTAAGTGAAGTGTTTTGCATTTATCTAGGCCAAACTGCATTTTTATATTAGTTGAATAAGTGTGTATAATTTCTAATAGGTGATTTAATGTGCTTGTGTAAATGCATAATTTTATGTTGCCCATCTACAGTACATGAGATGATACAATACATTGTGAGACATGAGATTACATCAAACACAATAGTATCTTCATATTTAGTGTTGTTTAATCTATTAGACAATGGGTTCAAAGTCAGACAAAGCCAGAGTGGATATAATAAATCCCCTGGAAAATGCCTCATCATGTATATATCAAAACAAACCAAATATATATATATCATAAAATTTGAAGTGTGGTGTTTTTCAGTGCTGCAACATGTTTTCTAAAAATATATAATGTACACAATAATCATGAATGTGAGATGGTGGGTTTGGTATGTAGTAATCTGTAGAAAAGTCTCATTGTTTATGAATAATTTCTTTTTTACAGCATACATTTTTATATTTTTTCAGTCTTTGTGACTTGGATGTTTTTGTTTGAGTGCCATTGTATTCCTGTCTGTGTGTATTGTGTGTGTTTTTAATTTTCCTGAATATTGTCATAACCTCTTCGTGAAATTTGGTATTACATTGATTTTACTATATTATTCAGCCTGCCTAATTGGTATTTAATATTATTTGTGTTTCTTATCATCTGTGCCACTCAGGCTTATGATTTGCCTGTGTTATGTTTATGATTGTACTGTACTTTAAAAAGGTATGTAACTACAGTGACTGCATCAGAATAAATTAATGTGTCTGAAAGTGTTGATTCTGCTTGTGGAAGTATTGTGATAATATAAGGTTTTTCCTAGTTGTTTGGGTATTTGTAGTGTGTGTGAGGTCTAATCCTTTATTTTTATTATCATTATTATTATAAAATAAAATATTAATTAATAACCAAACACCATAAAATATTAAATTTATTTTTATTTTATTGTTATACAAAGTTTTATTTTGTTATAAATGTTTATTTTTCTTCTTCTACAGCAGAAAATCGTTATTATTGTCCAGATACATAATGAAAATATAAAATTACCTCATTTTCAATAATATGAAGCTTTCTTTTTTTTGGAGATTATTTCATATGTTAAAGACAAAATCAAGGATGCATTCACATAATATTCTTGGCAGGTAGATTTAATTAATTTACCTACAATTGCCAATTTAATTTATATGTTAATTTTAATATTTTGTTATAATTTAACTCTCTTATTTTATTCTTTTCAGTTTGTGTTTAAATATTTTTTTTATTTTTAACAATTATAAAATTGCTTACAGCAGAAACAAAATAATTGCAATTTGTTAGCAATAAGTTTGTTAAATATTTTAAAAAAGTAATGAAAATAAAACTTACTGGTGTTTGAAACTGTTCTGATAAGACAGGATTTGTCATGTAATTAGAAATTGGACATTGAAGCTTAATTGTTTGAATCTATATTTTATAAGAGACAAACAAGTGATAAAAAACCAAAATTACAGTTAATATAGCAGTAATGTTTAAAGTAATACATTACATTTGAAAAATTACAACACAATAATAGTATGTATATTGCTTTTATAGGTTTCTGATACTATAATTTTCAGCGCATAATCTGCATTTTAAAGTCTGTTTTAATTAATTAAAGCAGATATAAACTGTGTTCTAATAACTTTTGTAGATTATATACAGAAAATTAATTTTATTTAATTTGATGATGATTATTGTGCCTTTCCAATGATTTGTATTGTTTATTCTTCTTTAATATTTTTCACAGATTTAAGCATTTGATTATTTCAGTCTGTTATCACTTCTCCTACTATCTCTATTGTTTTTTGTACTTTTTGATAGAACTGCACAACTTCTGATGTTAAAGTTAGTTAAACATTGTTTCCACTTCTAAAAACAAACATTAGTGATTGTTGTTAGACATTTATTATTATTTTTTATAATTGAAATATTGTGTTCTCTCTTTTAGCTACTATCTACAAAGAATACTTAATGATTTATAAAAAGCAAAAAATGCACTAGATAAGAATACGGTTCAGAAATAAATTAATATATAACTTCTTTCAGATTTAACACACTCTCTTTTACAAAATTTAATGTTTAAAAAGTATGGATACAACCACTTAGAATGAATGGAGATGCCAACAAAGATAAAAAAATATTCCAATTTAAATGTTTTTAAATGGTATTAGAAACTATGTATGTATGTATGTATGTATGTCTCTTTAATCCGAAATTAAGTTCCGTAGACTATCATTACAGCTTTCAGGTTAGACACTTCTTTTATTGTTTCCACATATGAATTTTGGACTTATATAAATGTTAAGTCCCACTTCAGTGCAATACTACAAATTATAAAAAAAAACCACAATTAGTAACATGACAAAATTCCTTGTGTGTAGATCATATTTACTGACATAAAACTATCATACTTAAAAATTGTCACACTTACATGATACATATGGTTCTGTCTTCTAAAACCACGGTGTATAATGGGTAACATTGGAAAGATTCTTTAATACATCCATTAAAAACACCACAAATACATTTTCCAAACATCTATATGCAAAACCTTATATATTAATAATTTTATAATTTTTTACTCCATAACATCACATATTCCAATAAAATAACAATATAATAGAAAAATATAAAAGTGAGTATGTATTGTATGTGCTCATAAAATCTTATATAAGTACAACTTTTAAAGAATGTGTATTTTCTACAATATAACATTGCAGTAACTGTAATTATAATCGTTTTACAGGTTAATTATATGCAATATAGTAATATTAAAAACATTTTTAAGAGGATACCTAGATAATTTCACAATATATTTCCAATTATTTTCTGACACAACACTGTATGATAAATACATTATAATAGGTGATGGAAAAAAGTGATTGTATTGTATCACTGTTGATCTGTTCGCATACCATTTGATATAGTGATTAAATTATCATCTTTAAATTTTATAATCTCAATATGTTCCTTAAATTTACATTTATACATATTTTTTTCTGAAAGAAATAACAAAAATAATTCAATCTATTTGACAATTACTATTTTTTATATGGTTGAACCACGGAGAATTATTGTATTTTAATCTAATTGCTGTTTCGTGTTCTTTAATTCTTGATTCTAACGTTCTACTAGTTTAACCTATATAATTTTTTGGTTTTGGCAATTACAATTAATTTTATATACAACTCCTGATTTTTTTAATTTATTAACATTCATTTTATATTTATTATTATTATTGTAAATATTACGTGAAATTTTATTGGTCAAAGATAGGGCCAAAACAATATTTTCTTTTTTTAAAATCTTACTACAATTATTATAATCATCATTGATATAAGGAAAAGCTTTATAATTTTTATCTTTTTTATTTTTGATATTAAATCTGTTTTTATAATACTGGTTGTGCCACATTTTTAATTTGTAACTGGGGTAATTATTCAAAATGAACTTATTCTCTAATTCTTTTAATTCAATTTTACGATTTATATTAGTAGTTCTTATATATATATATATTTTGTTTTTAGACACATTATGTAGATGTTCTTTTATTATAATTTCAGGGATGCAGGATTGATAATTGATGGTTTTATTGATGCTATGTGGTTTTTTCAACATTTTAAAAGTGTCTAACCTGAAAGCTGTAATGATAGTCTATTGAACTTAATTTCGGATTAGAGAGACATACATACGTAGATCGTAATAACAGCTACCAAAAGTGATATTTAGAAGGTATTAAAAACATTTAAAACATCCAAAAAACATTTTCTAAGGTTTAAAATTTAAAACATTCCTATTCAATTGCTACAACAACTGTAAATATAACATTTATTTAATTTTAGAGATACAAGAATACTATTATAGGAATTATTACAGTTCTCTCAAATTTATACCTTTTTTCACAGTAATGAAAATAATACAATGACTCCTAAGTCTAAAGAAAATGTTACTTCTATTGTTTCAAGCATTTATCTCAAGAAAGGCATTATCGTATAATGTCATTAGTAAGAATGGCCAAAGATCTTTCAATTAATTCATGATGGTAGCTTTGTTATTACAATAGCTTACTTAACAAATCATCATCGTATCAAATTCATATTATTAGAAACTTTTTTAAAATGTTTAATGTTCTAATCCATCAGATGTTACACAAGTTGTTATTTTATAGGATTTTTATCACTTGTTTGTAACTTTGAATTTACACTATATTATATGTTCCAATATTCTAATTATATGAAGTCTTAGAAATTCTAGATTATTGAAATTAAACTTTAATGAACAAATTTTAATTGACACTGAATTAAGTAAATTAATAATATTTATATATAAAATGATTTTTTAAATATTTTAACTAGTTTTATTATTATTGAAGCTGTTATTTGACATTCAGGAATCTTTCTTACTTAAGAATGAAATTATTATTAGTTTAATGGATTACCTACCTTTCAATATGTAAACTTTATTTTTACATTAATGTTTAAATTTTTAGAATTAATTTTCATAAGAATCTTGATAAGATTAAACAAAATTTAATGAAAAAGTTATAATGAATCTTTAAAGTGTTTGTTTTGAATTTGATGAAATTTTGCATTATGTGAAAAATAATATTTATATAAATTTTACATTATTGGGTTTTATTTATATACTGTATCAAATATTATTGTAATTTACAATATATGTCATATATTACTGACTTAATATTTAATTGTACAGAATGTCCCAGCTAAAAGTCAGCATTTTAATTCCCAATATCTCCTGAACAACTCACTTATGCCAAAGTGCCATTTGGTTTCATCATTTGCTTAGAAAAGATGTAGGTGACATCTTTTACAAGAACCTTTTAAGAATTAGTATTGAATAACATTCTTCAATGGTTTTCTTAATATAAAGGAAAAATGAAGTATTCAGATGCAACATTACAAGCCTTGAAAATTTCAGAGTTCATATAATATAAATTTTGCAGATAATCACATGCAGAAATTTCTGGTGACAAAGAAAATTTGTGTTTTTCCATATTTATTTCAGATCTTGCCAAATGAAGTATAAGTGTACGAATTAAGTAATAATAAATAGAGCTTCAGTTCATGAAAAAAAAATTGATCTTGTTTAGCTTGATTTGTTCAGGAGAAATTAAAATTGACTTTTAGCACACTGTATATAAAAATAGATCTAAACTTATTTTCTGTCAAAAATTAAAATCAACATTAGTTTTCTTCAGAAATGAAATTAATTAGTTTTATGTATTCATACAATTAGTGGAACCAGAAAATACTGACCACTTAAGCATCACTTAATTGTGTCAAAATATTCTCTCTGTTAAGCTATTAGATGAGGTGCAATAATTTTTCTTCTTACATATGCATAAGACAGTAGCTATTAAAATTATATCTTTTTATTATTACAAAATAAGAATGTGTTTTTTATTCTAATAAATTTTTTTTTCTTTTGTTGTAATTGTGATTGCCTTAATACTTTCAGCGAGATATTATTTAGTCTGGAGGTTCAATGCTTTTATGCAAAAGCTGTCCTCCTGTAGTTTGATCTCTTCTCTTTATTGTAAAAACTATGATGCAAGTTTTTAAGCTGAAAATCATACCATGCTGCTACATTTTAATCATAAGACAATGAGAAATGTTACTAGTTATCTGACCAAGGGGGGGAAAAAAATCACCAAAATGAGACAAGACATCAGTACAGCCAAATTTTTCTAATTCAAAGATCATAGGGAAGTGAAACTTGTATGAAAAAAGCACAATTTAGGGCAGGGGTGGCCAACAGTTTTTGCCCCCGGACCGAACAAGAGGCTACCCTAGGAAGATTTTGAGGTGGTGCGAGATCTCAATGTGGTGTCACCCCATAGAGACTAAATCGTACATAGAGATTACAGATACATTTTTCACATTATCATGCTTTTTATCAACAT